GCCTGGCGCGGGCGAGAGACGGGGCCGGGTGCGGGCTAGGTACGGGCTGGTCGCGGGCTAGGTACGGGCTGGTCGCGGGCTAGATACGGGCCGGTCGCGGGCTAGGTACAGGCCGGGCGCGGGCGTGAGACGAGGCCGGGCGCGGGCTAGGTACGGGCCGGGCGCGGGCTAGGTACGGGCCGGTCGCGGGCTAGGTACGGGCCGGGCGCGGACGAGAGACAGGGCCGGTGCGGGCTAGGTACGGGCCGGGCGCGGGCGTGAGACGGGGCCGGGCGCGGGCTAGGTACGGGCCGGGTGCTGGCTAGGTACGGGCCGGGCGCAGGCGAGAGACGGGGCCGGGCGCGGGCTAGGTACGGGCCGGTCGCGAGCTAGGTACGGGCCGATCGCGGGCTAGGTACGGGCCGGGCGCGGGCGTGAGACGGGGCCGGGCGCGGGCTAGGTACGGGCCGGGCACGTGCAAAGAACGGGGCCGGGCGCGGGGCTAGGGGCCGATGGGCCGCGAAGGCTAGGAGCGACGGGCCTAGGGGGGGGTACTCGCAGCGTAGCATGTGGTGGGCCCAAGGAACCTGCTCTGATTCCATGTGAAAATAACGAACGAGAATGAATGAACTAGGAAACAATTGGGTACAAGTACTAACCCTAATTGGGTTGTACCCCTTGTGGGCTACCCCACTACAGCCTACACAAATGTATAAGATATAATGTTCTGACAATATTGTGTCCCATGCGTTGGGTATTGCAGGGACCCGTCGAAGAATCCAAGTATTTGCGCGCCCTCCATCTTCAGCTCGAATTCGAATTACTGTTAGAAACAACAGTTGAAAGTTAGAAAAGAGAAAGAGAGGGTTGCACTAGCAAGCAGTTGAGTACATATAGCAAACCCTAAATTGGGTTGTACTCACTATTGAGTACCCCACTGCAGGCTAGACAAACAGAACATTCTGACACACCCCCATAGCCAAAGTGGGGTGTAATCAGCACAACAAGCAAAGCAAACAAGCTCAGGGTGGATCACAATGTCACCACACATTCTAGTACAAGAAGTAGAAGTACAAGAAGTAGCAGTTTATAGTTCACAAATATAAGCAAAGCTAGAGGATATAACAGAGGGCAAGTGAGTAGAAGGAGGGACGATGAGAGGAGAGGAGGTAGTGGGCAGCAGCTGAAGCTGCTGGCACACGGCACAACTGGAGCAACTGGCACACGGGCAACTGGAGCAACTGGCACACTGGCAACTGGAGCAACTGGCACACGGGCTACTGGAGTAACTGGCTCCGTGGCTAACTCTGAGCGGCAGGAGCAACGGACCCACGGGCAACTGGAGCAACGGGCTCACGGGCAACTGGAGCAACGGGCTCACGGGCGACTGGCGCAACGGGCTCACGGGCGACTGGAGCTGCTGGCTTCACGGCGGCCACCCCCCTTCAACCTCCCCAAACTGTCCCACCCCCCTATGACACACCCCCTGCTGCACCCCTAGGTTCACTCACACTCCACCCCCTAGCACCACTCCGTCCACTCCCACACATCCACCCCCCTCAGCGACAGCTGCAGCAGTGGGAGACGAAGTAGGAGGAGGAGCAGGTGATGCCACACACCCACCACCCCTCACCCGCCACCCCCAAACCCTAACACAGGGCAGGGCTGTAGATGGCGGGTAGGGAGGGTACGGGGGGGGGGGGGCAGGGCCGCGACGAAGACAGGAGGGGGGGGGGGGGCGACGCGGGGCCCCCTTCAGTCGCGGCCCCCCCCAGGGCGCCGCGACGGGGTCGCATATGGGCGACGGGGCAGGGCCGGGGCAGGGCCGGGGCAGAGCCGGGGTAGGGCCGGAGCAGGGCCAGGACAGGGCCGGGGCGAGGCGGCGACAGGTCCGGGACAGAGCCGCGACAGGGTCGGGGTGGGGCCAGGGCAGGGCCGGGGCAAGGCAGGGGCCGGGGCCGCGACAAGCGACGGGGGAGGGCCAGGGCGGGGCCGCCACGGGGTCGAGTAAGGCGTCGCGCGGCCCCCAGGGCAGCGCGACGGTCAGAAAACCGCCGCGCGCCTCAAGCGCGCGGCGGGAAGAAAAAGGGCCGCGCGCCCGAGGCGCGCGATAGACAGTATAGCAGCGGAAGACAATGGTGGGCCCATGCACAGGATCGACCCAGAAGGGTCGACCTGCTCTGATTCCATGTTAGAAACAACAGTTGAAAGTTAGAAAAGAGAAAGAGAGGGTTGCACTAGCAAGCAGTTGAGTACATATAGCAAACCCTAAATTGGGCTGTACTCACTATTGAGTACCCCACTGCAGGCTAGACAAACAGAACATTCTGACAATTACCAGGTATAAAAGTCTTTTCCGTCGAAGGGTGCTGATGTCTGCAGTTTTAAAACATGTGCGAATTGTGATTGAACCTGAAGCACGTCCAATGTCTTCTCTTGTCCAGGTGAAGGCTGTTGGTGTGGCGTGAAGCTGATGGAGCCGCGTTGAGGTTCGTACGGAGCAAAGGTAGGTTGCTGCTGGTTTCCGCGCGCATAAGATGAACCGTCAAGGCTCATGGGAGTGGCCCTGTTGTTGTTATCACTGTTGTTTGATTGCGCTGGAGCTGCTTGCTGGTGTTGCTCGTAGAATGACATGAAGGAGAAGAATTTCTCCATCATACTTGGGTCGAAGCTTGCTGCTGGATTCCCGGGAGTTTCGGTCGACTCCGCAGCTGGTCTTGTTACTGTTCCTTCCTCTGTCTGTAGGCCAGAGGCTGGAGGTGGAGTACGAGTAGTACCGAGAGATCCGTTTGAGGAGCTCCTTCCTTCTGTGTTGCCATGTCTTGTGTTGTCGTAGGAGTTTTGGAAATCGATCTTGCCTTGTTTGCTCTCGTACCATGTTGGGCTGAGAAATAGCCCTTAGGATCTTTCAAGGCTAAGATCTTGTTGAAGTAGGAATGTTGTAATTGCGGAAGCGTAAATAAGGAGTTTGCTGAACCACCTTGTACTGGTATACGAGAAGAAGATAAGTTGATAATAGCAAAGACATACAAAGCTTTTATATGATTACAAAGGAATATGAAAAGTTCTACTTTAACTGTTTTCTGCTGTTGCGGTTCGATACAGTGACGACTCGGGTAACTGCTCAGTATCGAGTCAGTTATGTGTCCTTGCTGTCATACTGTATTTTTCGTCGAGTCAAAGGCCAGCGACCTTTGACCTTCGCGTAACCTTCAGCTGTTACGGTTGCTGACTCACGTGTTGTTTCGCTGTAGTCCGCTCTGTTCTCGTGCCGATACTTCGATTACTTCAGAAGCGTTATATTACTTGTTTCCAATTCCAACAGAATCTTCGCCACTACTGCTGTCTGATGCTGTCTGCCTTGACGGTCCAGATCCCTTCGTAACCGTCTGACCCTTCGCGTTACTTCCGCCCAGGGCTGACGTTTCAAATTTAGGTACCCTGAGTTCAACCTAAAAAAAAAAAAAAAAAAAAAAAAAAAACCCTGAAGGCAAATTTTCCATAAAAACAGCACCCTGATTGCTCAGGGTTGAGAAGTAGTGAACTCTGAATGTTCAGGGTCGAGAATTGAAAATCAGGGTCGTAGTAACGCGCTCTTTCTTTACCGAGGACAGAAGTCTCACTCAATCAGAAGTCTCATTCTTCACCCTAATCGCAACATCTACTCGAAATCTGACAGTCTACGGGGAATTCAAGCAGAATCTGCCTTGACCTAGCGCAAAAGGGATTTCCGTACGGAGCAGAGGTCGAATGTGCTGTTGGTGTCGCAAGGGTGACTGTGACTGGCGCTGTGACTGGCGCGCTGTGACTTGCGATGTGACTGGCAATGTGACTGGCACTGTGGCGATGTGACTGGCGCTGTGTTAGAGCACATCTATTTCGACCAATAACAGCAACCTAAAATCTGACATTACAGATTCGCCCGATCTAGATGGTGGGTGTGTGGGAACGAAACTTCGTCTCGATAAAGCGAGGGGTGGGGGGGAGGATTACGCACGTGGGGGGCACTGAAATCAATGCGAAGGGGTTATCAGGAGGAAATTTCCGAGAAACTTCGCCCCGATAACATCGCATTCAGGGTCCACAGGCCTCGTACTCTGTATTGACAGGGTCCGTGAAAACCCTACACTGAGAGTGTACACAAAATTTCAGAGTCCGCTAAAGCAATACTCTGAATGGATCAGGGACCAAAATGTGAAAAACCTGATTTCTCAGGGTCCAGAAAGTGACAAGTCTGAAATCACCCTGAAATCAGGGTAATTACCCTGATAAAATCAGCCCTGCTTCCGCCCTTTCGTCTTCAGCATCGGTACTGCATTCTTCGATTGCTGCTGTCAGGAGTGCATAGTAATGTTTCATCAATTGCTATTCGTAACAGATATAACGCAAGGTTGGGTGCATGACGTGCAAGGAAAAATAGAAGGCGGCGAGAGGTAGCCTCGGGAATTGGGATCGATGGTGTCGGCCGAACGTGCATGTCCGAAAGTTGGGATTGTATGCTAAGCAGTAAACCCAGACAACAACTCATAACAAGAACAGCGAAACTCAATTACGTAGTCATTGTTTCCGAACCACACAGCCGAGACTTGCGTGAGCTGGGATATCAGGTTCGTTTGTGTGTGCCACAGGTCCGTAAGTCAGGAACTAATAACGTTAGTCCCCCAAAAGTTCCGGAGGAGCCAAACCTCAAATCTCGTTCGGAATTTCCCTCCCAAGAGCAAGCAAACCCCCACCAAACGTCAAAACAACTGGCTCTCAGATTTTCCCTCACCTATCAGGAGGAGGCAAGCACATCAGAGACGGAAAAGTCAGGGCACATCTTCCACACCATTCAAGACAAGAGCACGTCCCTCAAACCAACACCCATCCGCCACTTACGAGAGGTAATTTCGTCTTACGAGGGAGCTTACCGGCCTGCGGCAAAGTCACGTCCTTGAGCTTAGACGACATTATACGGACGGTTCCACTTGAGCTTATCGTGCTCGGCGTTCGTTTGTGGTCCTTGCTGCCTCGCATTGAGGATGTCAAACGCTAACGGATTTGGAGATTACGACCACCAAGTGGACTATGTCTTTAAGATCGTGCTTATTGGAGACTCCGCTGTAGGAAAGTCTCAACTTTTGGCTAGATTTGCTCGGAATGAATTTTCGCTGGAGTCTAAGGCGACCATCGGAGTGGAGTTTCAAACAAAAACGATAGTCGTCGACAAGAAGGTCATCAAGGCCCAAATTTGGGATACAGCTGGTCAAGAAAGGTACAGCTTGTTTTTCTTGATTACCTATTACTTTTAACTTGCCCATTTCTATCAGTAGACGATCACAACCCGCATCATGCTTGCCATTGACCCCATACGTTCCCCTTATTTCTCGGAACTTCTCTTCACCTTCGGAACTCATTTGTATGGTATAACCGCCCTGCCTTTTTCAGTCATGTCGGGCTTCTGCGTCCTTGCTCATTCGTTGTCTTTCATGGAAGAATGTGAATCTTGCGACTTCTATTTGTTAACGTACATCCTATGCAAGCTTGTCTGCGTTCTCATTTGTGTCATCAATCTCTCGTTATCCTGAGATCTAGTTGTTTTTTCACCATCTATACGCTGACAAACTTTCTCGCAGTTTGACGTCGTCCATGCGTTATTAAGAAATCGAAAAAAAACTTCTGTGCAGATCTTGTTTGAGTCTTGCTTGAAGGGGTGCCTACGCGCAATGGACTCCACAGCATCCTGTCCTAGCGTTGTTTTTTTTCCAATTAATTATTGGTCTTCTCACGCAACACAAAGTACCGTTTTTTCGTCGTCGTAACGGATCTCTCCATTTCTTTCTCTCTCTCCCTCTCTCCCACACACTCACTCAACCTCTTACTCGTTCTCATTCTCATTTCTCCCCTTACTCCTTCGTGCGAAGTCTGGTCGTGTGGCCAAGCTTGAGTTACCATTTTCACTGACTAGAGCTTACCTACTTTGAAACGGAGATGTGCTGCTAACGATTTCCTTTTTGCATACATTATTTTCCAACTTTCAGGTATCGCGCTGTTACCAGCTCATACTACCGCGGAGCAGTGGGTGCTCTCCTGGTGTACGACATCAGCAAGCGCATCACTTTTGAACACTGTGGTCGATGGCTGGACGAGCTCCGTGCCCACTCTGACTCCAATATCTTTGTTATGCTTGTGGGAAACAAGGCTGATCTGGAGGACCAGCGTCAGGTGACCACTGCTGAGGCAAAAGAGTTTTCGGAAGCTAACCGTGTGGCGTTCATTGAAACATCTGCTCTTGAAGCCCTCAATGTGGAGGAGGCTTTCACCCAGGTATTGACGGAGATTTATCGGATCGTCAGCCGCAAAGCTTTGGACACAGAGGCAAGCTCGAGCAACACGGTGGGTCCAGGCACCAAGATTGTCCTTCCTTCAGGCGGTGAACCTGCCAAGCCAGTTCCTGCCAAGTCTTCATGCTGCAGCACCTAGGTTATTATTATGAGTAGTCTGGTGTGGATGATGGTGAGTATAATTGTTTAGACTTACGTATGGAATATGGATGGACATTATGTCTGGTCTTGTAGCTGTGCAGAGCTGTATGTTTATGAGATCTTTACTGGTGCTCATTGACACCTCGGTGCCTAAGTGTAAGGAAATGTGCTTCGTTGTCAGAGACCTTGTGCAATTACTAGTTATAGTTGCCTTTGATAATACCATCATCCACTTAACCTCAAGGCAGGTTGAAAAGAGTACCAAACACAAGCAGCCAGAATTAGGGAAAGGAGGGATTTATGTAGTGCTCGTAAGGGTTCAGTATTTGTTTAGTACCACGCGCAGGTTGTAACGAGGATACTCCTTGCCACCCACCTCCAATTTCGTGTCCAAAGAAACGCAGTCACCAATTTGTGCATGGTTGCAAGCAGTTTTGACATTTGTTGTCATATTACGTCACACCATTGGTTCCCATTATGCGGCAGCCCACAGGCGGCAAGGCGCCGGAAAGCGCAGACGACGGGGGAAACGGATCCGTTGGCGGGACTACACAGGAGCATGGGTTTGGCGCAGCTGCGCGCGCAGCGCAGGGGCAGGCGGACGAGCACGCGGAGTTGCAGCGGCTTCAGCGGCAACTGGCTCCACGTGTGGGAAGCGTGCCAATACAGGGGTACCTGCTTAAGCGATCTGAGACTGTAAGGAGGCTGGGAAGGGAGGGGAGGTGTGGAGCGGGAGAGGGGGAAGAGGGAGGAGGGAGTTGTTGACGATGTAGCGTGGGGAGAACGGTGCTCGTGACGGGATAGACAGGGAAAGGCTGAGTGGAGAGGGGAACGGGAAGATAATAAGGGGAGGAGTTAGCGGGCGAGAAGGCAGATTCAGATGGTTGGGACGAGGTGACATTTTCGCTTGACGCCTTTCTCTGAGGAGCATGGGACTGCTGAGGGGCGACTATGGACGAGGATTTGCGAAAATCTACTTTTCATTATTGACAATTTTCAAGTCAACTGAGTTTGGAAGGTTTCTGGAGTCGAGTGTTTTCTTCCTCTTCCTCTTGCAATTTCTGTGCGCAGTAGAAGCAGCACCCACAGCAGCCTCTGTGACAGAGACCAGCTTTGTCGAACACACACTTGGACTGTCTTGGCCGCGCTCTTGGCCCATCACATCACCCCTTCTCTTCCCTCTCGGCCCCTTCTTTTGTCCCTGCTTCCATTGGCTTGGCATGGCTGTATCGTCCCGCACTCACTCCCCATCCGTTCGTATCTCTTGCAGCTGCATCTTTGGAACCAGCGATGGTTCGTGCTAGATCCGCTGACAGCGCGTATGGAGTACAGGTGCGTCTTATATCGAGTACAGGTGGGTCTTATTGAGTGCACTGGGTGGTTCTATATGTGGTACATACATGGTGGTATTGTTCCGGCTACAGGGTGCGTCTTATACTGAATATACATATAGTTCTTCATAGGTACAGGTGGATCTTAATACTATCGTGTACTGGGTGTACATGCGATTCACGGCACCTCAAGGTCTAACTGGCTCTATAAACCAACAGACAGATGGAAGAGACGTGAAGATTAGATTCATAAGGTGGTTGAGCATGAGGGAAAGGGGGGGGAGACAGGAAGGGAGTAGAGAGAGACGGGGGTTGGGGAGGGAGGGGGGAAAGGGGAAGGGGGAAGGAGGGTGATAAACGGGAGTGAGAGATGGACAAAGTGCGTGAGATGAGAGAAGGCGGGATAGGGGAAGATTGTGGGAGCGTGGTCGGGGACTGTGCTCGTTACGTTGTTCCTTCCTCCAGTGCTCCCCGCAAGGCCCATCCGCATGTTGTCTGGTGCTTGCTCGTGTGCGGTGCGGTGCGGTGCGGTGCAGGATTCAGCGCAGTGACGTCCATGCGCGGGGAATCATCCACTTTGAGGCAGACAGCACCATCACTGTGTCGCCCATCAACCTGCAGTGAGTGGGGCGTGCTCATGCCATGTGCACGTCCATGCCTCCCACGTGTGTGCATCCATGTGCATGCATGGATGGGTGTGTGAGCTGTGCTCCTTCAAATCAAAGTCAGCTCACCTCCATAGCTGTTCGCCCTTGTGCGTGCTGTGCCTGATCGATGTTGAAGCGGGGAGATAATGGGAAAGGAGGGCGAGAAAGCGTGTGTGTGTGTTTTTATGATAACGTGTGTGCCTGTTCTTGTGCAATTGTGTTTGTGTGTCCCCCTGCCTCTATCTATCCATGTGCAGTGGGGCCAAGCAATACGAGAACTGCTGCTTCTGTAAGTCCCTCCACCTCGCATCCTCTCACTCATTCCTCTCCCCGTTTTCCCTTCGTTCTCTTGTTTTTTCGCACGCTTACTACCGAAATGTGGTGGTTCTTTCTGAAAGCAAACATCTAGGCGAATACACCGTAGCGCTTTTATAAATATTTGCATATCGACAAGTGGGCTAGTGGTTGAGACCTGGTGGTATGAACCATCATCACTGCGTGCGTCTTTTGGGGACGTTGCATCTTCGTAAAGTGGCAGTCGAGAGGTCATTCATTGTGCTCGAGACAACACAAGCATAGTTTCGGACTTCTTTTGAGGCGTCTCAGGGTGGGTGGTGCTCGTGCTCGTGCAGTGGGTGAGAAGGGCCAGTTCCGCATGTCGGAGCAGCGCACGTGGCATTCAAGTTCAAACACACAAGGGCAACAGATGAGTCTGCCTGGCACCTGACCCGCGTGCCACTCAGAATCTTTTGAGAGATTCCAAAAGAAGCCAGCTTGGCAGTTCATCCGTGTGCCGCCCAGACCCCTGGCGGCCACGTGCAAACCCAGGGCGGTGTTGTGTGGGAATCTGTGTTTGTATTCTGCGCTAGCACTTCCTCTGGTTATCACAATCATTCTTACCTACTTCGTGCCTTCATCACCCTCCTCTTCCCCTTGCCCCTCCACTTCCCATTTACACCCCCACCCCAACCCGGCCCCCTCACGCTCCCTTCTCCGCCCGTCCATGTCCCTGGTGTGTGGTGCATCAGATGTGGGCACGGCGGGCAAGAAGGAGTACTTTCTGTGCGCTGAGACGCCTGGTGCCGCCAGGGCTTGGGTCTCCACTCTGCGGTATGTATGGGTGCAGTGCGTTGCATGCATGCACTGTGCGGTATGGGAGTGGGGTGCAATCTGTGTGCAGAGCAGAGTTGTCTTAAAGATTACCTGAGAGGAGTTACTGTATGCACGGCAGGCAAGAAGGAGTACTAGGCATGATGAGGATTTATTGTATCCTCATCAGAGCATTCCTTTCAGCAGTCAACACTAGGCAAGCAACCACGTGTGCATGCATGTATCCTCCCTGCCTCACATCATCCCTACCCATGCCCCTCCTTCCTTCCATGTCGCGCCTTCCATGCCCGTCCCTCAATGCCCCTTCCTCTCTTGCCGTTGCCTGTGCTGCTCTGCTCCTCCCAGTGCGTGTGCGCTGGTGCTCAAGGCACACCGGGAGGAGGTCAACGCACTCGGCTCCTCCTCCACCCCCCGTGCCACAGGTGCCTTCCGCTCACACTGCTCGTACTGCTCATGTTGCTCGCACTGCTCGCACTACTCGTATTGCTCGTGTTGCTTGCTTTCCGCCTGCATTCCTTGGCATCGCATGTGCACTATGGCCCTGCAAGGAAGGCTGCCCTTCCATCCCTCCCTCCACATCCACGTATGTCCTTGCACTAGGAAGGTGTTCGTTACTCCCCCGCCTTGCTCCTGGCCTGGATTTCCGGCTTATTAACCTGTCCCAGTCAACCTCCCCTCTCTCCCCTTACTCATCCATCCCTCCCCCTCCCACCCACACCACACCACCCTCCCTTCCCTCTATCCACCCCCCCACCTCCTTATCTTTCCCCCCCATTTTACTTGAGCAGGCGCAGTGGCAGCTGCGACGGCAGCAGCCAATGAAACGGCGCGCAAGGCAGTACCAGAGGTAGCAGCGGCGAATCAGAAGACAGTTCAGGCGAACGCGGCAACAGCAGGGATACTCTCCTCCCTCCCCCTCTTCACACCACCACCCCAGCCCTCGCCCCCCTCTTACACACGCAACCCCTCTCTCGATTCCCAGCTGGCTGCATCTTCCCCCACCATGCTCCCTTCCTCCTTTGTTGCCTCGCGCTCTCTCCCCTCATCCTCTGCTGCCTCTGCCTCTGCCTCTGCCTCTGCCTCTGCCTCTGCCTCTTCCTCTTCCTCTTCCTCCTCCGCACTGCTTCCATCATACCATCCTGCGACCGCTGCCTCTTCCCAAGCAAGGCAGAACGACCAGGAGATCAAAACGCAGCAGCAGCAGCAGCAGCAGCAGCCAAGAGCAGCAGCAGTAGCACCATCCGCTGATGCTGCAGCTGCAGCAGAGCTGGTCAAGGTAAGGGTGGCGAGAAAGGGAGGGAGCAGTGGTCAGTAACAGGCAGGCAGGGATCACCTCTGATTGCTGATAGGACTCAAAGATCTCTCACAGAGACTATCAGAGCTTGAGGGAGCTTGGGGGAGCTTGGGGAAGCTTGGGGGGGCTTGGGGAAGCTTGGGGGGGCTTGGGGGAGCTCGGGGGGGCTTGGGGGAGCTTGGGGGGGCTTGCAGGGGCTTGGGGGGGTTTGGGGGGGGCAGGCAAGATGGCAGCAGATGCCAGGTTTTAGGAGACTTGTAAGTTGTAGCTGGCGAGCTGAAGCTGGCCTTGCCTTTCGTGGCTCCTTGGGGCTGTGAGAAGTCCGTTGGGGGGTGCAGGCGAAATCTCCCACTCTTCCTGTCGAAACCTTCCTTCCGCTCACTTCATCATCATTTCTCGCCCACCACTCCATTGCTGCTTCTCTCTCCCGCAATGTGCTTCTTTCGAGTTCCCCACCCCCTCCCCCTCCCATTGCTGCATCTTGCACCCCCATGGGCACCTCGTGGCACCTTTGCACACCACAAGGCTGGTCGGTCACAGGATGCAGCAGTACCCGTCCTAAGTAAACCCCTCCTCCCCCCTTAACCGCCCCCTCCCAATGCCCTGCTCTCCCCCTCCCTGCCCTCCCCTCAACTGTCCTCTGCCCCTGTTTCCTGGCAGACCATTCGGTCACAGGATGCAGAGATGAGGCAGCTGTGGGGCATCGTGAGGGAGAGAGACAGCACCATCCAGGAGCTCGCTGCTCGCCTGGAGGTGCGTGGGGGCTGGGTGGAAGGACAGCGAGGGGGGATTAGAAAACAGAAAAGGGACAGCGAGAGAGAGAGAGAGAGAGAGAGAGAGAGAGAGAGAGAGAGAGAGAGAGAGAGAGAGAGAGAGAGAGAGAAAGAGAGAGGGGGAGAGACAGCAACATCGAGGAGCTCGCTGCTCGCCTGGAGGTGCGTGGGGTGCGGGGGCCGGAAGATGGGGATGAAAGAGAGGTGGGAAAGGATGGAGGGCTGGGAGAAGAGTGTGGGGGGAGGAGGGAAGGGGGTGGGGGATGAAAGGGAGAAGAGTCAGGGAGAGAGGGGGAAGATTCAGTCAATGGCCAATATCTAGGAGTGAATCATTCACCAGGGCGCCATCTCCACACCTCCTCCGTCTCTCCGATCTCTACTTCCTCCTCCTCCCATACCTGCCACGCCCTCTAACACCTTCCCTCGTCTTCCCTTGTGCACCCCTCCCCACGCTCACTCACTTACCACAGGAGGTAGCAGCGGCAGCAGATGCAGCAGCTGACGCAGCGACAACAGCAACAAAGGAGCGGGACGCACTGAAGCACTCTGCAAGCAAGCTATGTGCGGACATGGAGGGACGGTTCAGTGAGACCGAGAAGCAGATGGCAGCTGCAGTGGGGGCGAAGGTGGCCGCTCAGGAGAGGCTGAAGGTGCAGCTGGCACGGGCTGATGCAGCGGAGGAGAAGGCAGAGAGGCTGGCGAGGGAGGTTGAGGAGATGAGGGAGCAGATGAGGAAGATGAAAGAGGAGGTTGCTGCGAGTGCTGCTGCTGGTGGTGGTGCTGGTGGTGCTGCTTCTGGTGGTTCGTCTGGTGGTGTTGCTGGTGCAGGTGGAGCAGGAGGAGAAGGGATTGGGGAGGAGGAGGTGACAAAGGAGAGAGCAAGGGCGGAGAGTGAGAGAGAGAGGGCGGAGAGGGAGAGGGAGAGGGCGGATCGGGAGAGAGTGAGGGCGGTGGGGGCGGAGGCAGCAAGGGAGGATGCGGTGAGGGTGGCAGTGCTGTGGAAGGGCGAGGCGGACAAGTGGCAGATGGAGGCTGCAAGGTAAGGGGTGGGGGGAGATGGGATGAGATGGGATGGGATGGGATGGGAGTAAGCCTTAGTGGGGAGAATGGGAGCAGTATTAGGAGATGGGACCAGGAGATGCTTGGGGTGGGGGAATCTGATCCGTAGACTTTGCTGCCTGCCATGTCGTTGCCTTTCTTGCTTCACCTTCCACAACCATGGTCATATTACTCATTCCTGCATTCCGTTTCCTGCCCCTACTGCATCCCCCACCGTATCCCCTTGGTCCCTTATCGTGCTCCCCCCTCACCAGGCTGGCTCAAGCAGCGCATCTGCAGCAGCTGGTGCCACTCATTTCTCCCTCTGCGCCCACTCACCCCTCTGCTCCTCCCTACTCCTCCTTTTCCGCGTCGTCCACTCATTCTGCCTCTACCGACGCTCCATCACACCCTGCTGCAAGTACTGGGACACAGGAGCAACAGGGACAGCAGGAGCAGCAGCAGCAGCAACAGCAACAACAACAACAACAACAACAGGAGCAGCAGCAGGAGCAGGAGAAGCAGCAGCAGAAGGAACATTATCAGCAGCAGCAGGAGCAACAGCAGGTGGCGGAGGAAGCAGCAGCAGCAGCAGCAGCAGCAGCAGCAGCAGCAGCGGGTGACATAGACATGGACCCTTTGCAGCAGAGGCTCCAAGCCTTGCTCTCATTTGCACCCCAAGACTCCTCCTCCTCCTTTCCCTCAGACCATTCCTCTCCGCCAGGGGACGATACATCCCAGGAAGGGAATGTAGATTCTTCTGCTCCTTACGCATGGGATTCTTACACTACTCACACCACTCACACCCCCATGGGTACACCTGACGTCACCCCGTACATGTCGTCATGCTCTCCTTATACTGGTGATATGCAGGGCCCCTCTCCTGACTCCCTCTTTACAGCCACAGATGCCACAGCAGTAGCGGGTGCAGGCGGGGGTGCTGGCGCTGGTGTGGGTGTTACTGGTACTGGTACTGGTGCTGGTGCTGGTGCTGGTACTGGTGCTGGTGCTGGTGCTGGTACTGGTGCTGGTACTGGTACTGGTGCTGGTACTGGTGCTGGTGCTGGTGCTGGTGCTGGTGCTGGTGCTGGTGCTGGTGCTGGTGCTGGTGCTGGTGCTCTTGCTGGCACTGCAGATGCTGCTGCCGCTGCAGCTGCTGCTGGTTCCTCTGTTGGTGTTTATCCCAGCAACTCGCCACCGAGTACCCACCCATTTCCTGCTGCCTCCTCATATCCCTCTGACTTCCCAGGGACCCACCACATGGTCAGTACCTTTCCCCCCTCCCAGGCGCAGTCCCCTGGTGAAACAGCACCATTGGCAGCACAAGTCGCAGAAGCATCAGCGCCAGAAGCTGCAACATCATTGCCAGCGGCAGCAGGATTGGGTTCAACAGCAGAATCAGAGGCAGCTATTCTTGCACCAGCTGCACAAGATGCATCATCAGTTCTACCTGCAGCAGCTGCGTCTACAGAAGCAGGGACAGCAGCAGCAGCAGCAACAGCAGCAACTGCAGCAGCAAAAGCTGCGGCAGCTGCTGCGGCGGCAGCAATTTCAGGCCCCCTGATTGAAGGAGTAGCACCGCCTGCAGCCCACTTGGCAGCAGCCACTACAAGCTCGCCAGACCCATTCGCAAGCCTGCCATTATTACCATCGCCTGAAATTTTACAGTTTCCAGACCCGACTTCTATCCCTCATGGCGCTGATGGCACAGGCATTTCTTCAGATGCTGGTTGTGCGCCAACTGGGGTGGTTGAGGCGGGTCCGAGGAAGAATGGAGCTGGTGATGCTAATGACGGAGCCTCTGGAGGTGTATAGTTGTTTGTCTGATGTAATATGGGAGTCGACACCATACCTTATTGGCATGTTGCAGCTTCCAGGACTTTTTTTACCCATGTGTTACTTTTTGTGGGTTTGTGAGAAGGTATGGTAGGTACCGTACCTCTCTTATTTTGGTGTTGAGGGTGTAGATTTCCGACTTTACCAGGGTTGACTGCTTGGTTTCTGCATGGAGGGTCAATTGTCAAGCGCTTGAATGCACAGTGTGTGCTTGTTTTGTGTTGCATCATGCATCCATACCTGACACGAAAGTGGGCAGTGGGCACTGATGATTGAAGGCTTGCATCGAATGGGCCTGGGGCAGGTGAAAGTTTCGCGGACTCGATTCAAAGCAGTGGCCTGGGATGGGATGCTTTGCCATCAAAACTAAACGGGAACCCATGTCAGGTCGGACGGGGCGGGACGGGACTCTGGGTTCAACTTTTGGCAAAATACTGTAGCGGGCAGGAAAGGAACCCATTCCTGATTGGAGCCGGTCGGAGCGCTCGGTGTGGTCGCGTCGCGAATGCAAATGTTTCTGGTGCTGCGCTGGAGCGGAAGGAGTGCTGACACGCACGAATGAGTTGACAACACCGAAAATTGGTCCGTCGATACACATGACTCGCGAAACCGCCACTCCCTGTTCGCAACTTCTCTCTCCCACCCACCCTCCCTTCTGTCCAACAAAACAAACCAGCGTGAGCAACACCCTTCTGCGAGTAGGCGGTACACACGATGCTCGTTTGACTAACCCAAGATTGCCTTGTAAGGGGGCTTTTAAGTAGTTCTCGGCATTTCGCGAAAATCGTCAACGTCGCACCTAGCAAAAAAGGGCATATAAAACTTTTGTAACTCTACGTTGACAGTTTGACTTCGATCTCTTCTGTTTGACTTCCGTTTCTATAGTTCGTATTGGTTCATAACCACTGCAACTTGCTCTAGGGGCTTGTAATGTGGGTGCAACTGACTGGTAAAAAAAACACGGGTGCAGACTTTCCATCCTGGACAGGGAAAATTCGCGCGCAGGGGTTGAGCATCGTGTGTAATAAAGCAGATTCTCCCCCCACCTCCCGTCGCCAACAAGAATGCCTCGTTCACACGTTCGGTTCGGACACATCTCCCCTCTGCGCACCCCACGATCCCTCCCCACCACCCCAAAACCCCCGCCAAACCTCTCTGACGCTTGGGGTGACATCGCCTCCAGCACCCCTACCCCTCAACCTCAACAAGACTTCTTGATCTCAGCTGATTGCAGGCCTCCTCTCACCCAACCAGACCCGATTCGACCGAGCTCAAATGTTAGCATTGACGGAAGACTGCGATGACATCTTCACATCACATTTTTCTTGTTGCCATTTTGAGACGGGGGAGTAGCAGCAGCCAGTTGGAAAGAATTTTTGCCAACACCACAGAAAGCAAGCAACTAGTTGCAGCTCGTGATGCGCATGGGGCAATTTGGCAGAGCCGTTCCCCGTCCTCTCCTCCCTGTCGCATGTGCAAGCAGCGCGCGCATTTCACCTTACATCCTCTACTACCGACGAAACCTACTCGTTTCTTTTCATAGAAACGCTGTCGCCGTGCGATTGAGCGACCACACCCGAATTCCTGACTTGGAAGATGCGTCAGCATTCACAACTGCCGCTTTTCCGTGACGGAGAACGTTACCCCCTCGCCCCGACGCGCGGGTCTTCCACCGACTATGCTCGCACTCCTGCCGAGCACACCGGGAGGGATGCCTTCCCTCGTTCCCAGTACAGTACAGTACTACTAGTACCAGTGGAGGCTCCGCTCTTCTTGCTCCCCATTGTCACTTCCTTCGCCTGCGAACCTAAGGAGCGAGCTTTTCCTAGAACCGATGCGCCTAACTTCAAAGTCACTGAGCTACTACTAGTAGTGACGGTACTAGTACCACACCAGCCAAAGTTCCGTCCCGCGAATCCAATCCCGGGCCGGTATCGCGGTTTCTTCGCTTCCGAGCCGCCATGATGACTCCCACGCGTCGTGCGATAATGTCACGTGCCTCGCACCTCCTTGTCCTGATCCTTCTCTCCGCCGCCGCCATTCACGGCGCGTCTGCCGGTCGAGCGTCCCCGCTCAAAAACCTCCTGCGCCCCGTCGCGGGGTTAATCCGGCATCGCCGTCCACGTGGGCCCGGGGCGCACGGCGGCCGAAATATTCACAATGTCCCGTCGCAGCTGACTAAGGTCCTCCCGCACGCCGCGCAGACCGCAGCTGACGCCATGAGCGCGCTGAGCGGCGTGACTGACGGCGCTGACAGCGCCACCGCCGCCGCCGCCGGTGGCGGCATCACGACGTTCGCGAAACCCGGCGGCGGTGGCGGTGGCGGCGGCGGCGGTGGCGGCGGAACGACGTACTTCAACGTGATCGAAGTCACCAAGCCGTTGCCGCGGCCCGCGGGGTCCGCGCTTTGCGGCAGCGTGACGCCGCTCGTAGACGCGCCGTTCGGCAACACCTATGGCTCCCCGCCGACTGCGGGCAGCTACGCCATTCCTACCGCGTGCGCGGTACGCTCTTGATGACGCCCTGACGAAGCACCTCCTATCCCACTCCTGCCGCCCGAATCCCGCCCTACTATGTCCGGCCTCTCCCATAATTCTCCTCACGCCATCCCCCCACTCGTTTCCCCCTGCGCATCTTCTGCCTGTCGCCGCGTATCTTTGGTTGATTCCGTGGATTCGACTGGCAGGGCGCGTGGTCCATGGCGGTGTTGAACGTGAGCGTGCGCGTGAGCGGCGTGCAGTTCGACCGCCGCATGTCCGTCTTCATTGGCGACCTCGAGGTCTCGCGCTCCGTGTACGCCCTGCTCTCTTGTTTTCTCTTCTAACCTTTTGAGTCGACTTAACGGTCACCTCGACCGCCGCATGATGTCCGTCTTCATCGGCGACCTCGAGGTCTCACGCTCCGTGTACGCCCTCCTCTCCTCTTCCTCCTCCTAGCCTCTGGATTCGAGTCGACTCAAAAGTCACCCCCGTGCACTCCTTGGCATGACCTGTATGCTATATTCTTGAGAGATGGATTAGCTTCGAGTCCACTTAAAGGTCGCTTTTGAGGCGCCTCAAAAGGTGTCTCTTGGCATCACTTGTGCACTAAAGTACTTGAGAGATGGATTAGCTTCGACTCCACTTGTAGGTCGCATCGCCTCGACCACGAACAAACAAAACTGGCCGTTTCGTGCCCTGCCTCCTCCACGTGTGCAGTACACCAGTTCTCACGACCCACCTCACCGCCTTCCCCTCTCTCCCCCCCTCTTCTTCCTCCCCCGGCCCTCTGTGTCCGCGCGCGCAGCACGGCGGAGCCTTTGGGCACGTCAGTGAAGTACTCGTTCGAGCGGGACCTCACTGCACTGTCGCCTGCTGTCAGGACCGTGAGTGCCGCTGCTGCCTATCCCTCTCCCTCTATCATCGCACCGCATCGCACTAGCGCCGCACTGCACGGCCCGCCTTTCGGTGCATGTGCTTTGGCGACAAAGACCCGCCTACTGCTCGGAGCTCTTGGTTGCGTGTAGCGCAGCATGCCAAGCTCACCCCTCCCCACCGCACTCCACCCGATTCCATTCACACCTGACCTGATGCCTTCCCCCCCCAGGCTCAGCTTACCTATTATTGCCGAAACACTGCCCGGGTCTCGTGCGCGCGTTACCTTGTATCCCCCCGCGCGCGTTGCCCAATCTCTTTCTCTTCTCCGTCCGCTGCTCTCTCTGCTTTGCACCCGTTTTCTCCCCCCTGGCCCCCATCAGAGCAACGTGCTGTCAGTGTACCTTGAGAACGTCGTTGACCGCACTTACACAGGTACTACGCCCCACCAAACCACCCACCCGCCCACCCACCCAACCACCCCACCCATCACCACGAGCACCCACCCACCGTCTCACCCACGAATATATACCCACGTTGCATGCGCCACCCAAGACATACCATGCACGCATCCTTCCTTGCTGTGGCACCATCCTCACTTGTTTCCTGGTCCTTGCTTCCTCCTTCCAAGACAATTGGCCTCTCCTCCGCTCCCCTTCCCTCCTCTCCCCTCCCCACACCTCACCTCTCCCCACCTCCCCTTCCCCCAGGCATATTCTACGTGACCGTCTCCCTGCTCTTCTACACTGGCGGCCCAGCCCCCGCGCCCGCCGCCTCCACCATCGTGCCCTGGTTTTCCCCCGCCGTGCTCTCCCGCTACCTCAACGTCACGGGCGGCACTGTTCTCTCCGCCTCCTCCGCCGTCTCAGGCCTGCCCGCCAACGCGGTGCGCGCGCGCTTTGACCTGCTTGTGTCCGCGCACGCACAGGACGAGTTCTACCAGTTCAACTACCCCAACTCGTGCGCCCTGCTCCCCCTTCCCCCTTCCCCCTCGCCTTCCCCTTCGGCCTTCCCCTTCGCCTTCCCCCATCCGCGTTCCCCCGTCCGCCTTCCCCCTTCTGTCTTCCCCCATCTGCCTTCCCTCTTCCGCCTTCCCCCATCCGCCTTCCCCCGTCCGCCTTCCCCCTTCTGCCTTCCCCCATCCGCCTTCCCCCATCCGCCTTCCCCCATCCACCTTCCCCCCTCCGCCTTCCCCCATCCGCCTTCCCCCATCCGCCTTCCCCCGTCCGCCTTCCCCCGTCCGCCTTCCCCCTTCTGCCTTCCCCCATCCTCCTTCCCCCATCCGCCTTCCCCCATCCGCCTTCCCCCATCCGCCTTCCCCCATCCGCCTTCCCCCATCCGCCTTCCGCCTTCCCCCTTCCGCTTTGACCTGCTCATGTCCGCGCACGCACAGAACGAGTTCTACCAGTTCAAATACCCCAACTCGTGCGTCCCTCATGCTCCCGTTTCACCTTCCCCCTCCACATCTCCTCTCTTTTTCTTTCCCATGTGCCAGCTCTCCCTCCTGGCGCTTTCCCCTTTTTCCGCTTGCTTGCTCCCAATCCCATGCCTCTCCCTCCTCCCTCCTCAACTCACCTTTCCTTCGCCTCCCTCCCTTAAGTCTCCTCCCCTTCCCCTCCCTTCCCCACCCGAGCAGAGCCACCTTCCAGCCCGAGGGGGGGCCGTTCCGCGAGCTAGTCCTGCAGATCGACGGTGTATTCGCGGGCTCCATCTTCCCCGCGCCCATCTTCTACACGGGAGCCGTGCACCCCCTCATGTGGTCACCCCTCGTGGGCAACGGCAACTTCCTCATCCCCGTCTACTCCTTTGACGTCTCGCCCTTTGCGGCGCTGCTGTCGGACGGCAATGCGCACACCATCACTCTGGCTATTCCCAAGGCCGTGGCCGGTAGTAACTGGTATTTCACTGGCTCGCTGCACCTGTGGACAGACGCTGCTGTGGCTACCACTGCTGGGGCTGCACCCACTGTCACTGTAAGTCGGTTTTGGGGAGGAATGCTTCTGTTTTAGACATGTGATGCGTGTATTTGTGTGTGTATCCATCCACCTATCAACCTGGTCTCGTGTGCTGTCCTTTCTGTCCGTTCTCAATGTCCTCCTGCCCCTCTCTCCATGTCTCCCCACCGCTCTCTCTGTATCCTTGCTTTTCTTGTCCCGCATTAACTCCATGCCTCCCTGCCTCACCAAATCTCGCTGTGCTTCTCTTCTCTACCATTCACCTCCCATGTGCCTGCCCCACAGGGTGGTGACCTGGTAACCCCCATCACAGAAACCGCAACGGGAGCATCCGGGACCAACGGAGTCTTCGGCACAACAGCAACACGAGACTACACTATCACAGGCACCGTCACCACCGCAGCAGGCATTGTGCAAACCGTCGTCACCAGCTCTCTTGCCTTTGACGCCACTGTAACCTCGGCCAGCAATCAGTGGGTGCAGGTGTGGCGCCAGAACATCGCTGGTGCGGTTACTGTTACGCGGTCGGTTCCGGGAGATACAGCTACAGTGGCGTCGACGGCGGTTGAGAGGTTCAACTTCCCTCTCTTCATGAACCAGACACGCCTCGATGGTACACTCTCATGCTCTTATTTGCAACCAGCTCTGTTGATCCTGCACTGCACTGCTGCTCTCTCTCTCACGTTTATCTCTCCCCGCTCCTCCACTTCCCCCAAAAAAACCCTCAACTCTACATCCACCCGTTCCGCCTCCTCCAAAAGCTCTAAATCTCCAGTCACGCCCTTGTTATCCCCCCTTTTATCCCCACTTTCACACCCGTCAGCCTCCATCACCCGTCTCCCATCCCTCCTCCCTCTCCTCCTTCCCCATTTCCTCCTCTCCTCCCCATACCAGCTGCATGCTCCGTCTACTTCCTCACGAGCAACACTTTCAACTACTACTACCCTGCTGGCGCGTCCCCATAAACTCCTTGTATCTCAACCTGCCCCTCTCCGCTGTCCTCTTTTCCCAACACCCCCCCATCCCTCCCATCCCCCCTTTCCTGTCACAGCTGCAGGCTCTGTCTACTTCCTCACTAACAACACATTCAACTACTACCAGCCTGCTGACGCGTCCCCATCAGCCGCCCTGCAGGCATACCTGCACAACGAGCGCATCGCAGGGTTCAAGGAGACCTACAATGCTAAAGGCTCAGTCCAGAGCCGGACTATCTACTCCAACCACACGTTCGAGCTCGATAGCTACACCGGGGGCGGGTGTTATCTGAGGAAGGTTGTAGCTCAGCCGCCTACGGTGGGGATTCAGTCAGATGTGGTGTCGACAGTGTGTTAGGCTGGAGACTGGGAGGGAGGGCGTGGAGAGAGCAGGCCGGGCATGGACTGGGCCCCGTTGTGGCTTTTTGGGTTGTGGTGATGATGATGATGATGATGATGATGATGATGATGATGATGATGATGATGATGATGATGATGATGATGATGATGATGATGATGATGATGATGATGATGATGATGATGATGATGATGATGATGATGATGATGATGATGATGATGATGATGATGATGATGATGATGATGATGATGATGATGGCACTTTTTTCACGGGTTGACCAAGCTGACGGAGGTTAACGAACTCTAACTGACGGGATCAGGAAGGCGAGACCCACCTTCCTGATCCCGTCGTTATCCCGTGGTTTTTGGATATAATGGTGCTGGCGAACAGCGCCTTAGTCCTTGGTTTCTCGTTGTAGCAAGTGCCAGGGCTCACTTCCTGATGCTGCTAAGTATGTCGGCCAACTTGCACAAGCTTGGAAAGTTTCATCTAAAGTTTCACCTGAAAAAAAATGCCACCCAAGTTTGCTCATATTTCCTTCAGACGAAATGGTTTTCCGTACTTTTTTTTCAGACAGGCAAAAAACCTAGCCAGAGCCCTGGGTACCACATGTTCAGAACTTTGTCTGCCAGCATTGGAGATTGCCCAGATTGCCCAGTGAGGAACAGCCATCACACACAACTAACAAGCCAGGTCAGCCAGGAGTTGCTGTAACCCTCATGGTAAAATTAACATGAAAACCGCTAGTTATTGGTACATCATAAACTATTTCCCGATGGAATGGTTTTGCCTTCCCGTCCGACCATGCGCTCTCCTCCCCTGCCCACACACCAGCATTACCAAAGCTTATGAACCAGCCTAAACCCGCGTACTGGTCCTTTCAACTATAATTATTCTCATCGGATACCCCGAGTTAGAAAACAGAAAGCACATCGTCCGCTGTACATCTCTCCTAAGCTATAAACTGCTTCCAGTTGTAGCTACCCGGAACGCCCCCCCCATTCACACTCGCCATCCGCCTCTCCCCTGGCGATGATCCGGGTCCTCGCGAGTTGTACTCCTTAAACTGAACCCCGCCTTTGGAATAACGCCCTTGCCAGTCGGACCAGCCTACGGGCATAACAGCCTTATCCATGTAGCACGAATCGTACACCACCAGAGACTTGTCGCGATACGGCCTGCCCAGATACGCCTTCCCGTTGCCATTGATTGTACACTTGGAGAGTATCGCGCCACCGGTCCCCATGCTTCCGGTCGGCCAATCCGTGCCCATCGCAGTCAAATACCCGATGTACTCAATACTCGCCTCGTAGTGCCGAACGTCGATCTGCGAATCAACGATCGCCACGCGTCCGAACCCCCAGATGACATCCGTGAGCCCCGAGATGTAACACGCCTGGAACAAGTGCTTTCCCGTGAAAGCACCGAGCGTATCAACCCAAGCGATCAAACCCACAGCGGACCAACGCGATCGCGAGCCTAGAAGGCCTACAGCCGGTGCGGGATCGAACGTCGTCTTGGCTGTATTCTCAACAATGAAGCCCGCTCCGGAAAAATCGTTCCCTTCCACCACCAGCGTCGCCGCATACCACGGCGAGCCTCGCTTCGACTGCGCGTTCCCCGCTGAGATGATTGTTGACCTGCCACACCCTCGGAGGTCGACCTTGTTCTGCCCGGGCTTGATGTGCACCTGCTCGTTGTAGCGCCCTGGTTTTATGCAGATGCGCCACGTGGAGGAACGCGACTGAGGGATTTTCTCCACGGCGTCCTGCACGCTCTTGTACTGGCTGCTGCCGTCTTTTCCCACCATCGCGTTGCACTTAGTTAAGAGCGGGTACTGGTTCCGGCCACGACCCCTCGATGCCAAAACTCGTCGCAAGCCGTCGTCCACGACAGGATCGCCTTCTGCGACCTCCCACCAGTATTCGCCCTCGTTCACAGAGATCGAACCAGTCGCAGAAGACGTAGTATTCCGTATGGCATCGGGAATTCCGGACTTCGAGTAGTCATTTAATTGCCCTTTTTTCTCGTTGAGCCCGCCATCACCGAGGGGAGAAGGTCCTCGTGTCTGCTCCCCCTGGTCCCGTGCCGATTCTCTTGCCGTCGCTCCTGCCGCTGCTGCTCCTGCCACGGCAGCTGCCTGGTCGCCATTACGAGGTGGAACGGTGGCTGAGTTCGCCTGGCCGGGAATGGCAGTCCTTCCTTGTAATATGTCGGCGATTCTTACTAAAGGGGCTTGCGAGCATTCCCCGATGAAACCGAAGGAGAGGAGAAGCAGGAAGAGCGATGGCAGCAAGACTGGTGGTTCGCGCCGCCATCTCGACATGTCGTTCGTCGCAGTGGTGCAGAAAAAGGAATCACAAATTAGGATCACACACCCTGAAAGGACGTGCAATCTCGAAAATAGTCGAATTGGATGCGGCTTCTGCAAGGATGTTCACTACGAGGAAAGTTGGAGGTAGGGTGTTCGACTTGGTTGTGTTGGTTCTAGTTGCCGTGAGAGGCCTGCACTCCACACGCCCAGGCTCGTGAAACCCTCCGCTTGGAGCACAAGCTTTCGTATTCCGTCAAGAAGACGGCCTATGGAGATGCTTGAACGCAGGCAACGATTGAAGGATGATTGCACAAATGGTCTCTGGTTTGGTGCGAAAGCACGGTAACGTGGCGTGAGGGTTGCGGTATTCAATTCGTGGTGGTGCCGATTATTGCGGAAGGCGGAGGTGTGGAGGACGTGGTAATGGCGGCGAGACAAAAACGTTCTGTTGGGGGGAGACAGTTGATTGGAGCAGTAAAAATATTTAGGGTTGGGTTGAAGGTCCCTGGCTGGTCAAGGAGAAGTGACATCGAAGCGCGCCGACTATGAGCCCTTCTTCGGAGAGCAAATGAGCATTAGGCTAGGAGGGTTAGCCACGATTCGATGCGTCATAATGTGGTGAAACCTGGTTTAGAAAAGAAACCGGTCTGTTGGGTTGTGAGGAACAAGTGGAGGCACAAAAGGAGGGAGGCATGGTGCCGAAGCGCGACGAAATGCGATCCCAAATTTCAAGGCAAATTGCTTTGGGTGGTTACACTGCTCGCGAGTGATCCATGTAGCCCTTTCCATGGCTCGCGATTCGCAAAGAGAAGAATGCGACGGACGCATTTGGGACGGGAATCCACAAACCGCCATCGTGCAGAATTCTGCTGACGGCGTCAAAACTTGCAGTAAACCAGAGCGTTTCGTGCCAACGGCTTCCAAGTGGGCATGAAAGGAAGAGGGAGTTGGGGAACACTGCGTATCGGATGATGCGAGGGCGTGATTAGGTTTTGACGTTTAGGACGCGTCACCTCTCTGAATTTTTTTTTGACCGATCCTGAGTTGGATCGGTGTTTAGATTGTACAGTGTTTTGGCGACGTCGCCAAGAGCATGGTTTCCTGAATTCGCGCGCTTTCCCAAGTGTACAGTAAACTGGTCAGCAAGATGCTGTCACATCTGGCTCGCGGGTTCGATGTGCCAGACATCGAACATCGTGCAATTTTGCACCAGAAATTTTCGAACCTGTAACCTCTGGCTCGGTGTGCCTAGGTGTTGCGAATCTGCTGTGTGCAAACACTGGTGTTAAAACCAGGGTACACATTCAACGCGACTCCAGGCTAAATTTTGGGCGGCATGTTTGCGGGAACTGCTGATTGGTTGACGAGTAGCGAATAAATAGTTGAGAATGGGCGAGCATGGGGCTTTTCGTCCGTGAGAGATGAGGCTTGGCAGGGGAGAAATTGATAACACTTGGATCTAGAAATTGGGGATCAAGGGGAGGGCAACTGGGTTGGCGGAAAGGGGAAAGGGGGTGAGACGATATTGTGGGGGAAGGGGAAACAATTTCGGTGGGAGCGGAATAGGTATGGGGAGGGGGGAAACGAATTGGCGGAAGCACATTCGATGACTTCGGTATACATTTGCCAAATCTCGAGGGTTCAAATGTTCACCTGCTGAAGCGAACACTCCCCCCAGATATTCCTAAATCACTGAGTAACCCCGAGGTCAAAGGTTAACCTTTGACAGAAATCCAATTGAATGTGCACCCTGGTTTTAAGATCGATCGTGCAATTGGTTTCCTCCGATCCTGCATTTTTTCAAAGAGGTGACACGTCCTTAGCAGTACAGTACCGCGTTGATGGCGTGATGTTCTGAAAGAAATGCGCAAACAAATGAGAACAAGATCGGAAGGGTTGCGTAGAGTTGTATTCCGTGTGTAAGAAACATGATGATGGAACATACTACATTTATATTTTACTTATAAATGCAATTCACTAAGTTTTCCCTATTTACTTAAAACGGGACAAGCTAGATAATTCCCTACTATGGAAAAGACATTTATTTCTATATTTTTCTTCCCGCCAACGTGTTTTGAGTGTAGAATAGTATCTAACAATCTAGGCATTGATGTTCTTTTTGTGATTGTAATAAGCATGAATGGTTTTCACCAACAATTTATTGTATTGTTTTATCAGGTTACTATAGCGGGTTTTATGTTGGCAACAACTGTAGCTGATGTGCTCGGTGTCAGATTTATATGACATAGCTACTGTAGGCTATAGTGGGGTAGCACATATGGGGTACAGTTTTCTAGGGTTTACATTTGTACCCAACTTTCCCTTAGTCATTCATTCTCGTTTCTATTTTCACATGGTATCGAGCAGGTTCCCTCGTGGGAACTGTTTCTAGGGCCCACCAATTCGACATTTTTTTTTTCTGCCCGGAGCGCGCTCAGTCCTAGCCCGAGTCGCGCTCCCCCCCCCCCCCCCCCACCTTTTTTTTCTCGCCCCGTCGCGCCGCCCTAGCGGCCCTGTCGCCTGCCTTGCGGCCCTCGCGCCGCCCTTCCTGGCCCCGACCCGCCGCCCGGCGGCCTCGTCGCCTACCCCGCGGCCATCGCGCCGCCCTTACCCGGCCCCGATCCGCCGCCCTGCGGCCTCGTCGCCTACCCAGCGGCCCTCGCGCCGCCCTGCGGCCCTGACGCCG